TCATATTTGGGACTTGGTTGACCTTTTGCCTGGGTGTAAAATGATTGGGAACAAGTAGGTTCTCAAAATCAAACACAAGGTAGATGGATCTATTGATAAGTATAAGGCCTATTTTGTAGCTAAAGGCTATACTAAAAAGGAGGGAATCGATTATGAGGTAACCTTCTCACTAGTTGTTAGGTTTGTCTCAATTCATCTCATTCTAGCTATTGTCGTAAATATGAATCTATATCTCTATCAAATGGATGTAAAAACTGTATTTCTCAATAGAGAATTGGATGAAGAGATCTATATGGACCAACCTGATAGCTTCATGGCCAAAGGTCAAGAGCGCAAAGTTTGCAAGCTCTATCGATCTATCTATGGACTGAAACAAGCTTTAAGATAGGGGAACCTCAAATTTCATCAAGCCATTTTAGCAGATGGATTTATGATGATGGAGAAGGATCATTGTGTGTACATCAAAGGTCCAGAGATAGTTTTGTGACCCTATCTTTGTGTGTGGAGGACATACTTTTGGCTGAAAATAAAAGAGAGTTGATAAATGCCACTCAAATGTGGTTATCCTCTAATTTTGAGATGAAAGATATGGGTGAGGCTAGTTATGTTCTTGGAGTAAAGATTGTTAGAGATCGTTCTAAAAGGCTACTTGGTTTATCTCAAGAGACTTACGTTAAGAAAATGCTTGAGCGATATCAAATGCATAACTGCAAACCCATAGATACTCCGTTGTAGAGAAATTTGAGCCTAAGTCTTGATATGAGTCCTAAGACTCAAGAGGAAAAGGAAAAGATATCAAGAGTTTTCTATTCCAACACTGTCGGAAGCATCATGTACGCTATGATGTATACAAGACCTGATATATATATGTCATCTTGTTGGAATTGTCAGCCGATTTCAGGCAAATCCTAGACTTACGCATTGGAAGGCGGTCAAGAGGATTTTGAGATATTTAAGAGGGATATCAGACTTTGCACTTAATAGGTTACAGTGATGCTGTTTGGGGAGGTGATTTAGATGAGCGCAAATCAACTTCAGGGTATGTTTTTTTGCTTAACAATGGCACCATATCTTAGAGCAATAAGAAGCAATCTTGTGTAGCCTTATCTACCATATAGGCTAAGTACATAGCATGTTCTACAATAGTGCAGGAAGTTATTTGGTTGAGGAGATTCATGCAACACTTAGATATTGTCACTGATGCATTTGATCCTATGATAATTAACTGTGACAGTTTGACTGCATTTGCCTACTTCAAGGATACCAAGTATTTTGGAAAAACCAAACATATACAGCTGAGATATCACTTCATCAGAGACATGATGCCACATAAGGAGGTGGTCTTATAACGTATTTCTACGAGTCGGATGGTTGTAGGTCCATTTACCAAACTTATTACTTGGGATTGATTTGTTTCACATATTAAATCCCTAGGACTACATAGAATATGACTGTACTTATGATTTGTAGACTACTATATAATTTCTATTATGAGATGATATATTTATTGCACTTTTATGATTGATTAAGCTGAGTAGATATATATTCACATATATTTGTGGCACAAAGTATCATTTGGCAGCTTGCAAATTATAAGCAATATGTCAATAGGTTAAAACTAGCTCTCTCACACGAGCAATCGCCTTTTGGCGCTGATGAAGCTAGCAAAGATGAGACATAGGTTAGTTATAGTGCTAAGAAAGTGAGTATAACTCAATTTTTAATGTCGCTGTGGTAAGGACCAAGATGAAGCTTTTAAGAGAAAAAAGAGCCAACATGAATATTTTCCCACCATTCATGAAACCTATACATAATGCCAGATATGAAAATTTTATTTGTTGTTGCTGAAAGTGAGCAGATGAGCATCTCGAGTTAGGCGCTTATGATGCGACTAAACCATGACATGTATGGTGTTTAGAGTTTGAGACATACACTCTAAATTGGTAAAGTTCTCTACCCTAGCATGCATATCATACTACATGTGGTTAGCGACCAAATAAGGAAGTGAGTGAATGGGTCTCTACTTCCTCATTGTTGTTGGATCCTAGAGGGGGGGGGGGTTATTAGGGTCACAAGGCTAAAAATAGTACAATAAAAATTAAGACAAGTAACAAACCACAAAAGAACAACAGTAGAAAAAGAGATAGAGTAAGGAATCGTTATCCTTATGACGCGCGATGTGTTAACGAGATTCGGTCCGCTGACCTACGTCCCCGCTCCCACTCTCGAGGAGAAATCCACTACAAAACCCGGTTTGGAAGCCGGAACTTCTACTACACAACGATCTCCTCACGATCTCACAACTACACAGTTGATCTCCACTAGATCACACTCCCACACAATTGATCTTCACAAGATCAAGCACTCAAACAGTAGCAATGGTGTAAAAGCTCTTTCTTTACAAGTCCCTATGGCAAAGAGAAAGATTAAACTGAAGCTGGGATGTGAACTTGAGAAAAACACAGAAAACATGTTTTAAAAATTTTGGCTCTTTGTAAAACTGAAACTCTGGTTTTTCAAAAAACTTAGGGCATTGAGGAAGAAGGAGTGTATGAGTTTAAATAGAAGAAACCAGCTGTTTAAACCCACACCCTAATCCCCCAAAATCTGGAAACAATCGACGCTGAGATTGTGTACAATCAGCACAGAAAACAGTACAAAAGGCCGTTTGAAAATAAGCGGCGGTCGATCATAAAATATTCGCGGTCGACCGTGAGCCAGATCAGAAACTGAGAAAAAGTCTAGAGACTTCTGCGGTCGACCGTGGGAAATCTCGAGCTCACGGTCGACCGCGGCGGTCGACCGTGAAAGTCTCTGCTGCTCACTAACGAATGAACTCAGGCACGATCGACCGTGGCGGTCGACTGCAGACTGATACATTCAAAATACTTGTTTTTGACTCACTTAAAAAATCTGTAAAATATTCATTTGATTTCCAAAAATTGTGAACTTTGTAAAATGTTTTTAACACTAAAAACAAATTGTTTGGAAAAGGAATTTTGCTAATAGGTCCTCATACTTGTGAAAAATAGTATTTTGAGAATAAACGCTCAAAAACTATAAGTATGAAAGTATGAAACTGTGTGTGTGATATCCCAATAGCTTCAATTTAAATCTAAACTATTTGCCTACATTTTAGTACTAGAGAGAAAATAAAAACTAGCTAATATCCTCACGTAGAATACAATTCTTTGAGTCTTGATATAGCTTGAGTTGGATGAAGCTTCTTATTGCATTTAATGTTCTTGAATGAATGTTGCTTCATCGCTATGCCTCCTCCTCCTTTGGATATCATCGTTGTAGCGCATATTCCATCAAATCCTCCATATATGGTACTAATAAGCTTGAATTACGTATTCACTGTATTTTCACTCAACAAGCCATTAGTACCGATAATGGTGGTTGTAAAACATCATCAAAACATAAGGGCTAACAATTGTGTGAGTCCTAAAGGTAAAAAATGATCTCATTTGTATCATATGTGACTTTTGACTACGTCATGAAGTGGAGGGTTAATGAAAGCTACTCTAGTGTGTTACCTATGGTCATGATTGATTCGGTTTAATAGGACATTACTAGGCAAGCACTTAGCTCGAGACTAAGTGGTGTGAGGGCGAAAGGAAGATTAATTTGGAATTACACACATCATTTGTATTCACTAGCTAGCCAGTTGTGTCACTTTAATGCGAATGGACATGACTGTGGATAAATATGAAGTTTAGAAAGGATTGAGTGTGGATCTAGTGAGGGATTTAGATATGCTAAATTCTTTGTAACCAAATAAATCTGGGGGTGCTACGATACTATTATTTAATTATTTTCATGTTTTCGGGTTGATGTCTCTATCTCGACCCTAACAGATTTCTAGTTAGGAGCTCCCAAGTGCAGGTGTATTTGCTGGTCGCACGATTCATTTGTCTGTATGAACTTGACTCAAAGTTTAGCTATTTCAACATGACAGAGGTCGGTTATGCTCGTCATGTGCGAGTGAGAGATGTAGGAAGTGGAGAGGTATGGTTACACCCATAATCGCATAACCCCTCCATCATGCGTAGTTATAGCAACTAACCATGCCCAAAATTAAAGCCTACAAAAATCTCTCTCTCTTGTGAACAATAATCTGAGAATTCAAAAAGAATAACTGCGGGATAATAGCCATAAAAAACTAGAGAGTTAGAGAGGCATTTGAGTTGTGAATCGTATTTCCGTTTCGTCACTATAAATAGGAGTTCGACAGCGATTATCGTGGAGTGCGTGAATCTTACTGGCGGCGATAAAGATCCTGGAACGCTTCGAATAGGTAACTAATGGGGTGGAGCAGGTGGTTTTGATTGTGGGGATTGGATAGTGTGGGGGATTGTTAGGAGTCGGACTGGTGATAGAGGATTGGTGGACAAGGCCTGATGCAGATGTAATTGCGATGGAGATTTCATGATGGGGTGGAGGTTTTTGCTGCAAGTGAGAGATGAATTAAGGGAAACATGGATCTGGTGGGCTTGCTGGAGTTGGGTTGGCCAAAGTGGAGGCTACAGCAGAGAGCAGGTGGGTTTAGAGCGATTTGCGGTTGTGTGTAAGTGCGATTCTGGAGCATGAATCACACGTGACGGTTGACTGATGGTGAAGGTCGGGGAGCGGAGCAGCAGGTGGAGGAGGCTGAGAGATCAGCTGCCGCAAAGTGGGGTGGAGTCGGCGGAGAATTTTGATTAAGGGTGAGAATTAAAAGGAAACACCTTCTTAACCCATTGACCGGGTAAGGGTATTTTGGGAATTGTGATAAAAAAATAAGTAAAAATCATCACAACTTTGAAGCCGATTCAAAGGTGGTTTTTTTATTGTAAATGTTTTTTTTTATAAAAACGTGGTTTCTATTGATTTTGCCTATTTTAAAGGTGGTTTTTATGTAAAAAAAAAGGCCCTAAAAAATCTAGGTATACTAGTAAATGCAATCAAGTATTCTGGGTCGGGTCGGGTCTTTTCTATTCGCCCCCGGCTTTGCAGCCCTAGAGAGAATCAAAAATTGAAGACGGCGGATCGATCACTGGGGACTCTCTCTCTCTCTCTCTCATCAAACCCATATTTTTTTTATCCTAAACCAAAAATTATGTAACAATATTACAGTTAAGGTTTGGGATTAGCGGCATATCTCCTGTAATTTCTTCCTCTTTTGATTTCCAAGCGTGTTCACTGTTTGATTGTATCTATTTTTGATACAATCAAAAGAAAAAGCAGATCTTTATTTCACAATATAGCTTTGATTCTTGTTTCGCAGGCTGTAGAAAATGTTTGCAGGTTTTAGAAGAAAAGGGTTGGCCGGTATGTACTTTGTTCACAGCTTTAGTTTCACTGGCTTTAATTTCACTAAATGTATATCACATGTGTTCATATAGTTGGCCCCAAAATTTTGGGATAAGAGGTTTTATTCTTGTTTTTGATGTAGAGGCTAGATACTCAACATCTAACGCCTCTAACTTGCACTTCTCTGTTGCATTGTTTAGACCTTTGACCTCACTGAATGGGTCTTTCTCGCATCCTTTTTGTAATAAATAGCGCCTTTATGGTTGATCGATCCATTGATGAAGTTATGTTTTGGATTCCTGAATTATTTTCTTGATCTGTGGATAAAGTTATTGTTTGTATTCGTGTAATTCTTTTTACAAATGTACTGCTATGCCTTGTTTGGTGTGTGGGAATGAGTCGGAATGGCATGCCAATTCCAACCTCTCATTCAACACGACGTGTTATCAGAAGTCAGAAATCTCATTCCCACTTCTCAATCAATTTTTTATTTTATGTGGGAATGGACCACTCCCAATGAGTTGGTAAGTAAGGGGCATTCCCACTTAAGTGGAAATCAAAAAAATTAAATTAACTTCAAAATATGTCATTATTGCTAATTAATTACCCGTACCAATCTTTTACATTCTCGCTTCATCCTTTAATCACTTCCAAACATGAGTGAGAATGAGCATTCCATTGCTATATTTATTCTATTTCACTCCTTACTACATTCCATTCTCACTTGACTCGTTTTCGGTGTCACAAACGAGGTGCTAAATTGTAACTATTACAAACTATGTATGATATTAGTGTTTGGTTGCATGCGGACATGTAATGATGTAATACATTGTTCTGTATAATCCAGCCTTGATAAGTTTTTTAAATATAAATCTTAAGTTTCTTCTTATAGTTGTTTCCACATTTCTTCCTGTTTCATGTGATCACCACTTATATCTCTGTTGTTTAAGGATTATGATTCTTTGTTCTATATGTTGACATTCTGTAATGTTTCGCTTTTCTACAAGTCTGGGAGAGTAAATAATTAGAATTTCATTTACTTGAAAATAGTTGGTCGCTCGTTATTGGGAGGCCTCAGCAACAATATGTTGGGAGCAATCACAACTCCCCTTGAGATTTCGTCCAGGCTGAGTGAGAGCAACCTTTTCCTTCAGGTTTGCTTCTGCTTCTTAAATTCTTATGTTTTTATTTACATGGCTGGTACTGCATCTCCTTTTGAGTTTTCCACTTTTATCTCTAGCTTTCACATCCTCTTTCTAGTAAATTTCAACTTGTTTATATGATTTTCTCGGGTATTCACCATGTTTAGTTTTTGTCAGTTATATGCTTCAGTGAGCTGACTGGCTGCTACTTTGTCTGAAATATGCGACATAAATCCATAACTAATTGTTCTTCCTTTGTATCTATTAGAATATCAGAGATGTTATAACTTGTTTAGGTAAATAATGTTTAAATAAGTTTATAAAAAAAATCTGAGTTGTATGGAAGATCTAAATTGAAGAAATAGTATCACCCTTTAGTTCTCTGTCTGTTTTTGAGAAGAATCAAGTCACAACTATAGCTAACAAAAAGGTTTTCATGCAATCGTTACATCTGATGCTTCAGGTGTGCTATGTCTCTTGATATTTTTCTTTCCTGTGAACTAAAATGGTAACACATTTTTTCCACAATAGGAAGGAATTATCTATTACCTGTTTCTTTGTTTAGTTCACGCTCGCTCATATCTGAAATGGTAATTTTTGTGTTTATCCATAATCCCACTAGCTAACAAGTTTACGGTTGCTTTAGTATGATAATTGGCTTATGAACTTCGACAAACCGCGAACAATAAGCTCCATGTAGTGTATAGATTGTATTGCCTTGTGGATGTATATCAGTTTGCAGGACTCATCATAAGCTTTCAACTCTGTTTATTTGTCAGTTCTTTCTCAAATCCATAATCCCACTAGGGAGTGTATCTGCAATGTGCTCAGCGAACTCTGTTTATTTTCCCTGGGGACCTATCACCAGTTACATACCCATGTAATTTGTCACAGAAAATTTTGAATTCCTTTTCTGATACGGGAAGTGCATTCATTCTTAATTGCAGATACACTCCCTATACCCTCCACTGTGTGGGGTATAGCCATCTTTTAACCCCGTAAACTATTTTCTTAGCAGGTAAGGCTTCCAAATATCAGACAGTGTTTTTCTACCCTCAAAGTAGAGAGCAATTTAGTATTTTTCCAGTAAAACTGAAGGGAAAAGCGTTATTTTATCTTCAGGTAATTCCCATGTTGCATCTCAACCTAGTAAAATAAATAGTATCATCTGACATTCGGGGGTTGTAGGGGCTAACAAAATAATTTAGGGGGACAAATTTTCAAAACCGACCCCTTTGGATTTTTAATTGCAAAAAACAACCTATTTCAGTTTTATTTATAAAAACCGACCCAGTTGGTTGAAACTGGGTCGGTTTTTGAAATTTTTTCTTCCAAACTTCACGGGAGTTCAACTCCCGTGAAGTTTTGTTATGAGAAAAACTTCACGGGAGTTCAACTCCCGTGAAGTTTTCCAAAAAAATTTAAAAAAACCGACCTGTTTTCAGCTAAATAGGTCGATTTTTGTAAATATTTTCAAAACCGGTCGTTTTTTGTAATTAAAAACCCAAAAGGGTCGGTTTTGAAAATTTGTCCTAATTTAGGGGGTATAAGTGGCTACACCTCAATAGTGCATTGTTGTATCTGCAATTTACCAGAGCAGTAACGTGACCTTCAATACTAAAAATGTAATCAAGCACACGGAACACACAAGTTGCATGTTGCGTGATTGAATTACTAAAACTTTAAAAAACCTGTTTGTTACATTTTGTGCAGCAACACAGGACCTTCATTCAGATGAGGACCAACCTGAAAGTGGTGGACAATTCTGGCGCCAAGAGAGTAATGTGCATACAATCTTAGACTGGGGGACACCATTGTTTGCTCAGTGAAAGAAGCACAACCGCGTGGTAAGGTAAAGAGTGGAGAGGTTCACTACGCCGTGGTGGTTCGTGCGGCAATGCAGAGAGGACGATGTGATGGCAGCGAGATCAAGTTTGATGACAATGCAGTGGTTCTTGTTAACAAGCAGGGAGAGCCTATTGGGACCCGAGTTTTTGGGCCTGTGCCTCATGAACTCAGGAAGAAGAAGCATGTCAAGATTCTAACTTTGGCCGAGCACATTGCTTGAAACTTGTATTTTCGGAGTTTTCCTATAGTTGCTCAGTCAAGGATAAGTTTTTCTTCTGAAGCCTAGATTGTGCCCTTGTTCAGGCCGTCATTATCTTTTTGCTTTGTTCCATCTCTGTTGTGGTTAATAATAGTACAAGTTTACTCCGATCGATTGTCAGTAACTTGAGCATTTATCTGCAGTTATTATAGAGCATCAGAATTTTGAAAATCTATAGCCGTAAAGTGACATAATTATGTTCAGAGCTGACCCAGTTAGGGCGTGATCAAATGTGTTCAAATTCAGATAAGCCCCTGTGTTTACCTTATAAATCTATTAGGCCCTTGATCTGTTATTTTAACCTATTAAGCCCCCGTGATTTTGGTTTTGATTCAAGTTAGCCCCAACAGTGGTTTTACACCGAAAACACTACCAAAATCACAATTCTAGTCAGGCTAAACTTGGATTATTGCAAAGTTAGTCACATATAACTTACATGAGATATTTGTAATCCCTCGATTGGAATTAGGAGCGATTATTACGCGGAAATGATCCTGCTTATTTCCTCTCGTGCACTCTCAAGTATGATAATCCCCATTTGCGGTAATTTTTCTTTTGTTTTTTTGGTTACTTTTTACTTAGAATCTCTTTGACTGGCTGTTTGTTAATAAAAATAATTTCAATAAGATGAAAATGCTCTTCCTTAGTTATGAAGAACCATCATGGAAAATAGAATCAAAACCAAAAACCACAGGGCTTAATAGATTGAAATAATAGATTAAGAGCTTATTAAAATGAATACCTTCACTTTTCTTTCCATATTTATTGAAAATGAAGCATAGCCGTCCGTTAAATAATGGATAGTTATGATAAAATTGAGCAAGTTATGTGGGTGTTTGGAGTAGGTACACGCCAAGTAAAGTGCGTGATTAACAATAGTTAATCTTTTGGGTAAATTTTGCAAAAATCTTTCTGACTATAGTGGTCTAATGGACACCTCTAAAATTTATAATTTGGATAAAAACTACCAGACTTTCAAAATTGTACAAAACCTTTCTTAACCATTAGAATCTGTCATAAACGGCATTCACATAAAGAGTGAAGATCTAACTACACTGAATAATACGAGTAAACCGAAACTTGGTAAGAAGCAGGGCGACGATGGACGAGGGACTGAAGAAGGAATGAAGTAGAAAAAGTATCAGGGGACTCGATGCTGGGAAAAGTTGATAGTAGAAGGGGGAGATTTGGTTGGGGGATTTAAGGTAGATTGAAGATAGAGGAGGAGAGGTTATCGTTGAGGATTACTGTGTTTTGGGGCTTTCGTACGAAGTGTGAAGTTTAGGGGGGTTAATGTAAACCCCTACAGACCGCAAGTTTTTGTGGAGTTTGGCCGTTAACAGAGAAACTATTCAAAACGTGTCACCTGCAAAGCATGTGGCAACTTTGAAGTAGTATATGGTATTTTAGTGAACAAACTTCTGAGGGATGTATCTCTAATGTACAAATTCTAGGAGATTGTGAAAAACACCCCAAAATTTAGGCGTTTTTGTGAAATTAGTGAATATTATTCTATGGTCCGATGTCAAATCATTGTTCAGTGAATTAGCTTGGCCGACTAGGCGTCATGAGGTTCTTTGTATT